GATGTCCCTTACTCTCCATCATGTGACTCAGTGTGACACTACATTATTTTCATGGCTAAATAAGCTGGTGTGACAGGGAGGAAAGTAAACCTTAAGGACATGAGTCAATTAGTCAACTGTACTTTAAATTAATGTGTTAATGTTAAATTTAAACATAAACTGTTAACATGGGTGCAGACATACATCTGAGCATGGCAATAGTTTTACATTTATACAACTTTTATTTAGTAATATTTGAGATGCAACTTCAGTGACTGTATATGCAGACATGTACAAATGCCTGCATTCCTAAAATATATATGAACTTCGTAATAAAAATATAATACGCTATGTTAATAATGAACTTTAATGTATTTAGGCTTGAAAAACATTTTTTGGCAGATTTCTGTCTCTAATACAAAGCACTCTTCTCATGAAATCACCCAGGTTGTGACTGAACTGCAGCAATTTTGCAAACTTAGAAACAACTATAATTTAATCATAATGTACTTTTTCTGGCCAAATTAAAACTCTCAGGCAATTTGTGTTAAAAATGTAAAAAAGATCTATATTGCTTTTATTGTTTATCCTCCATTACTATTTAAATAGTTCCTCCACATTTGTGTTGAATGCATTTATTTTGTATATTATAATAATTTTGAATCATGCCAAAAGAATTAGAACAAGTTTGAGATTTCATGAAATCATTGTTAAAGAAATCGAATCAAATCATTGTGAGGTCAGAGATATGTTACATAGGCTATAGGGTAGTGTTCATACGGCTATGTGACAACTACACAAGCCTCTCATGACAATGGACATAAGCTTATATAGACATTTATAGAGGCTTAATTCTTACACTTGCTGAGTGTTACCAAATATACTAACTAGCATTTACAAACCTAGGCCTAGTTCAAATAAAATGTAGATGTCATTCATATGATTATAAGGGTGAAGGTCTCTAACCATGAGATTTGCTCCTTCAGTATCAAAGCCCCCTGGAAAGAATGACTGCTTGAACTGCTGCACATCTTTGATGCTCTCCAAGCCAGCAGTACAGAAGTGGTGCAGATAGCGCCTGTAGCCCTGCCACTGCGCCAGCCTGACAAACTACAGACAGAAACATTAACCAGTTACAACACAGCCTAACACAGGCCTGTTTTAACACAACTGCCCACAAAGCCCACAGACTTCAGAGTGCAAGCACTGCCTGACTGAAGGCTGCCTAGTTTAGGCTCCATTAGCTTATGTCAGATAGCAAGTCAGTTAAACTAACCAATGTAAAAACTCGTTGAAATGGAAGGACGAATGGAAGGAAGGACTTACTTTACTCGCAAAAAGGAAATCTGCGATATGCAGCAAGCGTTCATGAAAATAAGGAGTGGGAAGGCGAGGTTCGTATTTTTTCCATATATCAAAAAGTTTCATGGATCTGCCAGACACAAAGGTAACCACGTAACTTACATTAACATTACAGTTAAACCCAGCACAAAATTAAACTCAGAATACGTTAGCTAACTAACTAACTAGCTAGGTTAGCTAAGTTAGCTAGTTTACCAGCCAAATTTATTACTGCTTCGTAACAAACAGACTAAGTTAATTGACGTTAACGGCATATTATCTCACCCTCTAGAATAAGACGAGTGGTCGAAGCTTGGTGAATCACGAACTCTCTTCATGTGTAATTTGAACTCTTTTAAATCCTTCTCAAAAGAGGATATGACTGGGTTAGATTTATCTATTTTTCCATAATACGAAGCTGGTAAAGGGTCCATTTCAGAGCTGTCTCCTGCGTTAGCTCACTGGCTAACAGCGGCGGCAAGTTTGTGAACGTTGCCATAGAGACGAGCAGACCTGCTGCTGCTGTGAGACCTGCTTCTCCAGGAGGAAGGACTATGACCCTCACGGCACCTCAAAAACACGAAAAACAGGCTAAATGTGGTGTAGATGTGAAATATAAAGGATAAATGTCAAAAATGAATGACAAAATAGAGAACACTCGGTGCTTTTGTGGTTTAGGCGTGTGAGGCGAGAATTCACCGTACACCAAAACAGTCTCTTTATAATCTAAGTTACCAGTTAAAAGTCTGGACACATCTAACTGAAAACACATTTTTTATCATCTTAAAGACAATTTGGACCTGCTAGAAACAACACCAGCATCGCTGATCAGCAGCAATACCAGCTTGTTGTGTTTTGGATGCTGGTCAGCAGCAGGTGAAGCTGTTATGCTGGCTTCTACCAGGCTTTACATGTCAGCCAGTCAGAGCAGGCTACTGTCTCTTTTCCAAATCTGCAGCATTCATGGTTTCTATAAAATACATTGTTCTTGCTGTTTTGTTATATCCTGAATATTCAGTAGCCTGTTTCATATTCCCAATGTTATGTAGTCTACTTTCAGGTGGTAATATGGCAAAATTTTATTACTTAGTTATTAATCTTTGTTTAATCTTTGTTTATATTTTCATCAAATACACCCATTGGTGCAAAAAAGACGCATGTGACTTTTTTTTTTAATCTAAAATTGTAGAAAAAAATTGAATGCGTTCATTAAGTGTACTGTCATCCCTGTGTGTATAAAATTTTATTATTAAAGATTAAGATCAGGACACAAAGCCAGATCAAACTATGGTCATTTTTTGTTTTGGTCCTCCTGTAAAGTTAGTGAAATGTCACTTACGCCCATTTGGTTCTAAGCCCTCAATTATTTCTGCTATGAGAGATGCTCTTTTATTAAAACCAGACAGAAAAGGCTCACTGTCCACCAGGCTGAACAGCAGGAAGGTCATCTCCAGCTCTAACTCTTCTCTTTACAGTAGACACAACACCACCACTCTAACTAACATCTCAACCCAGCACATTACCATACAGTAAAACCCATAACCGACAAATAAACACATTAACAACAACAAATAACATTTATAAATACAATAAATATCCAGGGGACAGAGCATGCATACCATGCCTCTAAAGCCCTTTCTGAAACATAGAGTGTGTGGTGGATGGCAAAATATGTTGTGTTTTGGATGCTGGCATGCTGGCTAACAGGAATGACCATATTGGGTGACCAGCTAAACCACTATTAGACCAGCATAAACCAGCTTACACCGACATGGAATTCATGCTGGTCTACGCTGTTTTTTTCAGCATTGTATGCTAACATGCAAATGACAAGTATCTCATAATAGCAATGTTGTTTTTATTATGCCCCCAACAAGTGATTTTCAGCAACAGCAAGGTCTAAGCATATGTGTTCCTCAATCTTATTGGAGATGCATCTCATGTGGCTCCTCATGAAGCTGAGGAAAAGCCCTCTGTGAGTACATGTGTCTATGGGACAGTATTTAAATCTCATAAAGTTGTTTCCATCAGCCACTAAATCTGGGTTATGCTACTGCATTATCACTGAATTTTAACAGTCAGCTCTGTACTGTGTTTGTATTAACAATCAATCATAAAACTAGGTTGGGCCTTTTGCAGGTCACTGAGTTCTACGTTGTGGTACATTTGTGAAATAAGTTTTTAATACATGTGGAACCATGGCTTTAAAGACTTTGTGTTTTCACAGATATACTGAGCCTATATTACACTGCTGCATAAGTGTTGTGACAACAGCTCTCACAGCCATGCAGTATTTCTACAATACAAATTTCTACAATACAAATAAAAAATGTTCTTTACATAAAACGTGGATCTGTTCTGTCTTAAAGGGGAATTCCACTGATTTTCAAAGTTTCTGCTTAATAAAATGGTTCAGATGTAAACAAAGTCTTTCCGAGTGGTTTGATGTGAAATGCTCCATTCTAGAGAATCTTAGTGAGTCAGACTTGCTGACAGTGATGACGGGAACCAGACGGCTGAAGAGTTTAAAGCTCCCTCACAGGCAGTTATTAAATTAAATGGTTATGAACACACTGCCTGATGTCTGAGACATTGTTTTATGATAGTTTTGAGATAAGGGTTTGGTCTAAAATGTATTTTGTAAAATCTCTTAATACCATTACATTAGAATAAAAAACTCTGAAGACGTGTAGGTTCACTGGTGGTTTTTGATAGTAAATGAAATGACTATATTTGCGTTGTAAACATTGCAACCCCTGGAATACGTTTCTCTGCAGTGAACCATTTCACATCAAACCACTCTGAATGACTTTAAATGACCATTTAAATTTTGTAGAAATTCCTCTTTAAGTACAAGTATCGATTCAGGATCTGACTTGGCCAATTCCTACAAGACTATCATACAAGACTATGGGATGTCTTACCACAGCTTTGCAGATGATACTCATATCTGCTTGGCCCTCAACAGCAATGGTCCCCTTGACTTGTAAGTACCTTGAGCACATCTCTGACTGGATGGGACAAAACTTTTTGTAGTTAAATAATGATAAAACAGAGATTGTTTTATTTGGGAATAGCAATGAGAGGCTCAGACTAGCTGCCTATCTAGGTTCAAAAGCTCTAAAATCTTGGTGTAATAATGGACTCTGATCTTAGTTTTGGCAGTCATGTTATAGCAGTTACTAAGCCAGCATTTTATCACCTTAAGAACTTCAACAAGATTAGAGATTTTCTGACTAATTCAGACCCGGATAAGCTCATCTATGCCTTTATTTCTAGCAGTACTGATTAGTGTAATGGTCTCCTAACTGGATTCCCAAAAAAGACAATCAAACAACTTGATTGATTCAAATTGCAGCTGACACTTTTAAATCTGGACTGAAAACGCATTTGAGCAGCTTTCATTTAATTTATCTTTGTATGTTCTTATTTGTGAAGCACTTCGAATGACCACAGTGTATGACAGGTGCTATATAAATAAAGGCCTTGCCTAGAACAGGCAGAATCATTGGTTGTTCTGGCACAAACAATCATTATTTCCCAAAAGTGTGTTTTTCTGAATATGTGCTGGAGATTAGACAGAGTTAGACGTTTGTTTACACCAACAGTAATGGCTGAGAACAGAAGAGTGCAAAGCCTTTGGTGTCCTCTAGTGGATCATTTGCAAAACAAACAGCAGACTTTCTTCCTGGATGAAAACTAAGGGCGTGGCTTTATCCCCCCCTGAGGCACACACCTGTAACCGAAAACGATTAAAGGACGCTGCTGTAAGTGACTTTACTAATATACTTTTTCTTTTTTCGGACAAAAAACATGTAATAATACTTACATAATTCTTTCCTCAATGATTAATGGAAATGTTATCTTTACAGGGCGGCGTCCATTTTAATCTACAACTCAGGTAAGCTGTTTTTTTCCTGAATCTAAACGAACCTGTCCTTTGTCAGACGAGTCAAATCGAAAACATGGCTGTTGTCATATTATCAGCAGCCATTAGAGTTAGTAAATATCTTATTCAGTATTATTAGTACTTTTAATATGGGTTAAAGCTACTTAGTGAACATGTAGTGTTATCTGATGATCTTTGTTTATTGTGTGAGAACTGGTACACAGATTCAAAACAAAACAAAAACAAGTGTAAATTACAATATACACAAGATAGCAGATGCCAATTTTTAATATGATAGTCATTTCTATTAGAAAACAACAGCCATTTTGTCAAAACATGTTCATTTCATTGCTGAAGTCAGAGCAGTTTGGCTGATTTGAATGGCAATTTGCATCGAAATCTTTCATGGGACTCACATGAACAAAGGGTTGGCATGCACAGCATTCTTCAGTGTTATTATACTCCCTATGTATGTAACCTCTTTATATTTGTTTTATATGTATTTTGCATTTGTTCCACTTCTCATAGATTTAAACTAAAATCAGCCGATCCTTTTTTGCAGCGTAGTTTCCAGAGCCATGTATATGAAAAGGGGAAGTGATAATAATAGTTGGTATAAAACTGGACTGTGCAGTGGATGAGCTCATCTTTTCACACCCCAATTGGAACGCACACAAACACACCCAGTGTGCTCCTAAGTCACATGACTTTTTGTTTACATGGCAGTACTAGTTCGTTGAAAGCTATAAAAGAAGTCAACCACAAAGGGCACAGTACAGCTCAACAAGGCTCCTAATGAGACAGTCTGTTAACACAAATAAAACACAAAGCTATTGGATAGATTAAAGGATAGATGATGGATTTGCAGATGTATGCTGTGTATAGCACTGTATAATGTTTAAGTACAAATAACATTGTTTCTCCTCTCAGATTACAAAATGGTGGAACAAGCGCATGAAGCAGGCAGTGCTATTTCCCCCCAGGCTGGACCTAGTGAGGTGGAAAATAACACGCCTTCTGACATCGACATGAGGTACAAATATGAGGAGTATTATGAGAAAATTATCTCTCTGATCCATAGAAAACATGACCTTTATTTATAAATATTACCAACATGGTAATATGTTCCATGTTTAATTAATAATTAATAGAGATGCACCGAAATTTCAACAATTGAAGATTTCCAGCCTAAAATGCTGAAAAATGGCATTTTGAGTTTTTGGCCAAATAAAAATGCCTTGGATAAACAGTCATTCTTTAGTTGAGGATGTTGTATTTCGTGGGATATATTGCAGAAATCTGAAACCAAAAACTTGAAAAAGCTGATGACAAATAAAAATAGTATATTTTATGCAAACTGTCTTTTTTTTAATGTCAGCTTTCTTCTCTTGTCTGTTTTGGTTTATGTCCTGAATTTGGATTTAATTTTTGGCTAAAATATTTAATTTCAGTGCATCACTAATAGTTATTATTCACAAACAGAAATTTATAACAAGCTTTGGTGTTCATAAAATGTTGTAGTGGAACAGCTGCTCGGCTCATCGGCCGTCGGCTGGCTCAGATCGGGGATGAAATGAACAGCAGGTGGAGCGAGAAACTCCCCAACCATTGGCAACGACATCAGCACTGGCAGGCACATGCTAATGTGCTGAACTTGCGAGCTTTCAATGGGCAAGTATCTTTTTTAGACAGTTACATTACGTCAGCACACAACTAACTGATACTAGCAAGTAAGAGGACACATAAGCAAGAGTCAAAATGTATGCTAGGTTTTTAAATCTGGACCTTGAATCTTGGGTTTTGTAATCATTGGTAGGTGAGAAACTAGGTCAGCGTTCAGTGAACTGCCAGTGATTACAAAATACAGGACTAGAAAACTGGATTTTAAGGTCTCTGCTATAGACCAACTGTATGGAAGCAGTTGATTTTTGACAACAGGTTCCAGCTGTTTTGGTGCTTGGACCCCTAATTAAGTGAATTTGCAAGTACCCAACAGAGCAGATTTATTGATGTTTAACCAAATAGTTCCCAAAATATTCCATTATTCTGTTGTGATGCACTCTTATTACTTTAATACTATATACAGGAAAGTCCTGTATGCCATGAACATTCCCTTACACTGACCAGTGTTTAATCTTAACTCATTGTTGAGCACCTAATCAAACCTTCAGGAGCTCCTGTATGTGTGAATCAGGTGCTCTGATTAGTGCTGCAATAAAGCTCTGAAAGAGACTCACCACATGCAAAACAAATGAAGAACCAGCTGGACATTGCTGCTGCACATATTTAGTCAAAACCCTTTTGTTGTATTGTTATAAACATATTGCTTGCTGTTGTCTCAAATAAAATGTTCACGTTTATTTTTGCAAAGTTGATGTTGCTTCCAAATTTTTGGCCTAATCTATAGATGTTGTTCACTTATGGAGACAGAAAATGTGATCACCTCTATGTACGCCTAGGTTTGAATATATTTTAAAACATGTAACAGGAGGATCGTTGGCAGTCTTTGGTGGTCTAAGATCATGCCGATGGTGAAGGCACCCTGGGTGGTTCCACAGCTGCACACTCAAGCCTGCCAGACAGCTATGACGTGGATCCGCTGTGTAAGAGAAAGTCATCATTATCTAAATTTCCATCCAAAGGATTTTTGCACAAAACATTTTAACGATTTAAAACGTTTGCCAATGTAAACGGAAGGTGGTGAGTAATATTTTATGAATGTCAACAAAAGCTTTTCTTTCCATCTTTAGGGGGAATAATTGTTTTTCGATAATGCATTTACATGTGACAGATTTCCCTCACATGCATCTAACAAGAAACACAAACAAACACGAACAGCGTGGTGGAGACTTAGGAAGGGAGCTGGACTGAGGAAGGGAGGAGAGTTTTTAATACTGCCACTTTTCAGCTCTTACAGAGTGAAAAGTCCAACCTTTCTGAAAGAAAAGTGCTCAAACAGCTCTATATGGCAGAGAAACATCATCTTTTGAAATAAAGGTTCCAATACATAAATAATAATAGTTATAGAGCAATCAGGGAAGCCGAGGGTACAAACATGTTACAGATGCAAAAACAATTTTTTAATTGCTAAAACTTATGCAACAACATATTTTTACAGAAAATTGTCACTACATTAAATCATTTTTATCACTAAAAGTCAGTTTGATGGAAACAAACTGGGCAGCAAAAATCTCACATTTTATCGCTTGCAGTTTGTGCAGAAAGTTAATGGAAACTGCTACTCTTCCATTATTCAGAAAAATGCAGATAAGTCAAAATACTGGAATAATTCAATTTATGCATCTCAAAATAAATATTACACAGTTCAGGATCATTTAATTGTGAGTTAACAAGTTATCATGTTAATAACACATTAATGCAATAAATTATTCATTTCATCTAAATGTTTAATACATTTTCTTAGTTTGACCGCTCTAACCATCCCTACATAGCTCCACTTTGAAGCCCAGCTGACCATGTACGTTCTGTGCACTCCTGCTCTGACTCTGTGACTGTAGCCCTCTCGTTGAAATACAGCTTTGAAATGATAAGTTCCATTGAACTCCATTGGCTCTCTTGAGTAAACCAAAGTATCATGTATCATTTACAAGCAAAACACACCACTGAGGCAGCAATATCAGTAATTCAGCAGACAAAAATGGACAGTGCTTCCAAGAGAAAATAACAAAAGCAGTGGCAAAATGGAAAGTCAACCTTGAAACAGAGTGTAATGAGGTATGAGAGTGAGAGGCTGCAATCCCAGAAGAGAAAATGCAGCCCCTGTTGCTTCATTCACGTCATTTTCATGTTCAGCCTGTCTTTATGTGATTTTCCTGTTCAGGTTCCTGTGAACTCTGCATTTACATAATGAAAGTAATGTTACTGAATTGCTGAAAGTAAAAAATACATTGAGATGAAAATGATGTTGTCCACCCGTACAGCTATAATAAAATATACTGCTTTTAAATGGAAAGAATTTTTGTGGAGACAAATATGAGCAAATAATCATGATTAACTACATGTGATTAATCACAATAATTTTAATGAATTATAAAACATATTTTTTTCATTATTCATATGCACAGTATGTCAAGGATATTAAAGTTCTTGTTCCAGGTAATATTCGGATGTGATTAATATTACATGCGGAAATGAGGTAATCTAATTATTACCGCAGGATGTCTGTTTATGACCAATTTAAATAAAAAATCTCAGTACGAATGATAGAGATAAGAGTGGCTACTCATTGCTGTCATTCCAGTCAGTTTTGAATTTTGAAACTTTTTTCTGTCCACACAGGTCTCGCACTTTCCTGACTGGTCTAGGACCAAATGTTTTCTGGCTTCTGCTGTCCTGCTGGCCGCTGCAGCTGCCTTTATAGCAACTTGGAAAATGTCGGAGAGTTAGGAATCACCCAGAAAAGAGCCAAGAGCAGGTCTTCAGCTCAACAGAAATCATGTTTTTTTAATATAATTTTTTATGATTCTTTTCTAAGTGATTGTAACCGAAGTGCTGGTTCACAGAGAAGTTTTTGTAAGTTGTTTGATGCTGATGTTGGTTTACAGTAGGGTCTGTTGCTGGTTAATTGGGCCGTGTTCATTCTCATACTTCTTCTAAACGCATTTCTGCACTACTTAAGGAAGCTGGACTTTCAGTTCCATTTTTTCCCACATAAACAATAAACATATCTTTGCTGTGAAGTATTTGTGAAGTATGTGCTTTTATTACAAAAACATAACCAAATTTGTCCAATTCATGACAACAGCTTTGTAATTCACTCTAGCAGCAAACACACTCAAACCCGCCAAGTGTAACTGACCTATCTATGCTCCACCCACCAACACAACACATAGCAAATGTTGCCAGGTTAAGCAGACTTTACAGAACGTTGCTATAAATCTCATTAAATGTAATGAGAAATTATACTGCACAATCAGTTTTGACCAAAATATGTCAATTTACAGTGTATTATTATTTTAAAATGATATTTATTCTGTATGCATGAGAAAGATCACACAGATCACATTTCAGGAGAGAGAAGATATAGTCATTCTGTTGTGTAATTGAAGTTTTAGGGATACATATTTGATAAGTTAAACCAGACATTAAGTGGCTTGAGTTGCTTTTGTGTTGCTAGTAGGGGTGGGGGGGGATCGATTCTTAGATGCATCGTGATGCGGATGTGGACGATTCTGTATCGTTTCACAAATGTCAAAAATCAATTTTCTCAATATTTCGTTTATAAAGTAATGTTGACGGAACGCAAAAGGCGGAGCTTGGAAATGTGGAAGTGCAGCGCCCGGACAGTCTGTGGCGGCACATAACAAAAAACACAACTGGATGAGCGAGAAATCCAACCGGCTCCCTCTGCATTAAAAGCCAGGTTAGATCAGGAGTCACAACCCAAATGTTAAGTAGAGACATTTTGTCCTTTCAACAAAAATCAAACCACCTTGGGAGCCACAACATTTAATGTCCAGTGTGTCTCAGTATGTGTTAATGTCCTAGTATAGGTTAAAAAATATAAACGAAAACACAGACTTACTTTGCTCTGCTTTAAGCTTTAGCCGCTTTCCTCCCATCTCTGCCAGAAAACTTTTCTTCAAAAGGAGATCAGTTTATTGTAAAATGTCTCAACGTTCGACTGTTTTACGAGGCTGAAGGCGCTTCTTATTCTCCAGCTTCTTGTTCGCTTTTTCCTGCTCCACCTTAAATTCTGCCTGAGGCGCCAGAATGTAAATACGGCACTATTTAAGGTGGAATGGGAAAATATGAAAGAGAAGCTACTTCAGCTTCGCCACTTTTTAGTGTTTGACAGTCTCTCGTTGCAGATTTAACGTACCAGGAAACCAACTGCGGTGCTTATAAATGCGAACAAGTCTATTCGTCTCCAAATGATAATCTCTCTTTGCCTTTTCGTTCGCGACTAGCCAGGTGAGACTGCGTTGCTAGGTGACCTGCAGTCTGCACACCAGGGGAAAAGGGACCTGAATAAGAGCCATACTATATGCAAGTTGTGTCGCACTGAACTAAAATATTTTGGAAATGGCAAACATGAGAAACCATATTACACGTTTCCAACCGTTTTCATACCGGTTGTACTGCATTTTATCGCAGATGAGTGGCAGCATCTCATCTACTCCAAACAAGAGCAGTGAATGAGAGCCTTCCATTTGATTTATTAATAAAAGATATTAAAAGTAAATTCGTTATGGATCGTTACAAATACTTTGTTGTAAAAGTTCCAAGTTGTCACACAGTGAGAAAATAGAAATCCTGTGTAGAAAAAAAGATAAGCGAGATAAGATAATTGATGTTTTATAATCACATCGCAGCCCTCTGAATCGTAACTGAATCGAATTGTGAGGTGCCTAAAGATTCCCACCCCTTGTTGCTAGCTATCTGAGTTAGCAAACAACAATCTACTGCATCATGGCCAAAAGTGACATACAGCAAAACAGGGAGCATGACAATGTTTCCTTAAGCTATATGAATAAAGTAAATCCACGCTGTGACACTGACAGGGAGATCTTTAAATTTCAACTTAAAAAATGATAAGCCACATGTGGTTTCTTTAAATTTACGCAAGCTCTTTAAAGTGGAATTTGTTAATTTTGCATTAATTCAGTCATTGAGATGTGAAAAGGATGAGTGATGATGATGTGAAATTGTTCATCGTAGAGAAGCGTATCAACTCAAACTTCTTTAAAATGGTGGTGACAGGAACCAGGCAGCAACACAAATATAGCCATTTTATTATTATCCAAAATGACCAGTAAACCCACACAGGTCTTCTGAGTTGATGATGGTAAAATAGCAGTAAATCAAAAAATAAAATAATAAAAAAAACAACTTTTCTTTGGGTAATATTTTGCTGCACAACTCCCTACATGTAACACTATACCATAACTGTGTTAACAAAATGTTTTAGGATTAATGTTAACCACGGTCTCAGGCACCAGGCAACCTATTCATATCATCATCTTAACCACCAAGTTTTTCCACAATGTTACACTTAACATCAAACTACTATGAATGACTTTGTTTACATCTCAAAGCTACACTATGTAAGTTTTTGGAGCTTTGGAAATGCGTAATTACACGTTGAATATTTTGTAGCAAGGGATGTGCTTCGGACCCCTTCCCCGAGGGATGAATCTGATGATTGTGAACATTGGAAGAGTATTCAAAGAGAATTCAGCAAAAACTTTGTGAGGGACGTGCCTTCCGAGGATGTAAGTGAATTATCTAGTATTGTCATCTTTTCTTCATCAGTATGGAAAAAAGCAGTGTTACGTCACAACAGCAAAGAACTTACTCCTGGATGGGTAACGCAGGCAGTGCTGCATTGATATATCTAATTTATTTGCCCAAGATGTTAGAAAAACACTGCTTTTTAAACTAATCTTCCCAGGTCAGTAACATCTTCAATTTGTTGAAATGTTTGTTTTGGTCACTCTATATCATCTTGGCTAATTAGCTAACTTGCTTGCTAGTTAGCCTAATTACACTGCACTGTTCCGCACACACACAAATGTGTACATTTGCACAGAACTAAGCGTAGAATCAAACAAAGCTTCAATTTTTCTCTGCTGAGCGTGAAAATATGAGCAAAAACACTCATTCTGTGGCCGTTAGCAGAAATGCTAATAGCATAAATGCCTTATAGCCTCATGTGAAACTGTCTACAAAGTAATCATTCTAAAAATAGCAATCAGCACATCAACATAACTTCCTAGTTTACATCCTGGTAGACATACTGGTTATACAATAGTGCTGGGCAGATTCATCTTCATCTGGAAGAGTAAACGATTTGCTAGCTAAATTGTTGTTAGCTTTAGCAGCCAGTGCTAGATGATCCCTCAGTAGGGTTAGCACTACTTCTAGCAACCCCACCTGCTTCAGAAAGCTGGAAAATAGGAAAATGTAAATTAAAACCCATGCTGTACTTGGGTGCTGTGCACGTTACATTAATACATAAAGATGTATAACACAATCTGGAAAACTCCCACAAAATCCAACCTGGTGCCTCTGACTTTTTCTGCTGACTCGGTACCTCTTTCAATGTTATCAAAAAATCTTACATAGTGCAGCTTTAAATATTTAATCATGCAGATTGGTGGAATTCCCTTTTAAAGGCTGAGATTTGCCCCCCCAAAAAAATCACAGTAGTTGATTTATGGATAGGCTGACTGAGTGAGTTTGCAACATAACATTAAAGACACCTGACTGGTTACCGTCAGAATAGAGGGGGATCCTTTCTTTCCAGCTACTGTGTAGCTCATCAAAGCACAGTCATGTCCCACACAAGTCTTTCATCCTTCTTGTGGCAGGGCAACATCAATATGGGTATAGTTCTTAAACGCTTTCATGTTGCATTTCTGCAGCGTAGCCCCCAACTGTCTCCCTGGTCCCACCTCGTACGTGTGGGGGAACTCCTGACCCTGAGTCCTCTCGTAGATCTCGTGCAGCGTCTGTTCCCACTTCACAGGCGACACCAGCTGCTTGGCAAGCTGCCGTCGCACATGCTTATCGTGCATGTAGCGCTTTCCGTCCACGTTGGAGTGGACGGCAATCTCGGGCCGCCGCACGTCCAGCTGCCGCAGCACGTCTTTGAAAGGCTCCACGGCTGGCTCCATCAGAGCTGTGTGGAAGGCCCCGCTCACCGGCAGCTGCCGCGTCCGTGCAAAGTGAAACTGACGAGAATTCTTCTGGAGGAAGTCCAGTGCCTGAAGAAGAGAGATCAGTCAGTCACAGAACAGAAAGTGTGACATCACTTGAGTTGCATTTCTGATATCCACTATGGACTAGGCCTGCACAGTCTATTGTTTGTTAACGGTTTTTGCAATGTTGGACTTCGCAATTCTGATTTCACTGAAGGCTGCAACATGTAAAAGAGTCTTCTAACCAAACATAATGCTGTTTACTGGCTGCTGTCAACATCCTGACCAATCACAGTTCCAGATGAGTACTTCTGGGAGCGCTGGATGAATTGAGCTAATTTTGGTCAAAATAATGTGGTTTAAAAATGGCACCAGCGGGGCGGCGCGTGACCTTCTAACGGATGGCTGCTTAGATCTGGGCGTGGTTCCCACCGTCGGAAATATATAATTATATATCCCAGGGACACACTGTTGTTTTTTATTGTATTCGACGCCTAAAGTGATGAAGACATGTCTAAATCGCAAGAAAGTCAAGATTTTCCGCTCTTTAATGCCCCACGGCCTCATGGCGACTCTAGCCAAAATGACCCAGTGCTAAATGAAATGCGAGAAATTAGCTCTCGACTTGGATTAATCGACTCTCGGCTGGACAGCATCGACACGCGCCTCAATACCATCGGTAGCTCTATATCCACACTGCAAGAATCGCTAGTCACTTTAACAGAGAGTTTCCTCTAACGAAGCCCGCCTGTCTGAAGCCGAGAACAGGATCTCCACGCTGGACGACTCCGCACATACTCAGCAGTCCGCGATAGCCAAGTTGAAAGGAGAGCTAGCGCAACTGCTAACAAAAGTTGATGACCTGGAAAATCGGAGTCGGTGTAAAAACCTGAGCATAATCGGTCTCCCTGAGAAAGCTGAGGCTTCCGACTTGGCAAAGTTTCTAAGAGATATGCTGCCTGTTTGGCTGGAGCTTCCCGCCGAACTGAGCTTGGAGATCGAACGGGCGCACAGAACACCGACTGCGCTCTCAAATTCGAAGACGACGCCACGGAACCTCACGGTCCGGTTCTTGCGCATAGATGTACATACCTAGATGCCGCGTTGGGTCCAGCCAGGCACGTCAACGGCACCGCCATTATAGGGCGGGCATCATCGCAGCTGGACTGCATTTAGTACCATTACAGAGCGGCGGTTTAAGAAAGAGACTGTCCAGAATTATACTATTTCAAGAATATTGCACTCAGAAAGCGGGATAGGATTATATAACGGAGGGAACACAGCGATGCACTCTCGTGTGTGTGATGCGTATTGTTTGTGTGATGTTTATATATGGCCGTGTGGTTGGTGAGGCACAGAGAACCTGTTGATGTGTTTTTCCTCTGGTTTTCTATTACGCTTCATTTCATTTCACAGTTAATAGTCTATTCAGGGGATCTTAACTTTATGTAGTAGTTATTTATTTACAGTGCTGGTTAATGCTTGTGGTTATAGCATTCCTTAATCCGTGTAGATATTCATAATAGATAAACGTTAGCATCTTATTACACGAACCTGAAGTTAGCTTCTTATTTGCTAGCTTCTTGTTCGAATTTTCCCGTTCCACCTTAAATGGTGCGGCTTCAGGCACCAGAAAGTGGTGAAAACTCGAACAAGAAGCTGGCTAATAGGAAGCCAACTTTAGCTTCGTCCTTCTATGTATAAAGAGTAGAAGTGATTGACACATTGATGGGTTTACCGATTGTGTTTCCACCTGAGCTCGCGCTAAACTCACGTCAGGTGCAGACTGAATACTTTCCTGCTGGTCCGGACGGCCAATTAGCACGATCAGTGATTAAAGAAATAAAAGCTACCGAGAGCAGGCCGTGCAGCCTAGATTAATCTATGTGTGAGAATTATAACAAAACAATTTTGGTGAAAATCGGTTGAGTATTAAGGAAGTTGCGGTCGATTTAATCCTGAGACTCATCGCCTCTCAATACAAATGAATTTGTTCACAAACCGCTCCAACATGGCGGACGCGCAGACGTATCACCTCACATAGAGAATAACAGACAATGCGGCATCCAGGTATGCATATCTATGTTCTTGCGCTACACCGACAAAGAGACGGTGCTTCGAGCTGCCCCGGTGAAACGGCACGTCCTACATAACAATGGCACCATTCGTATTTTCCAAGATTTCTCCGCAGAGGTAATGAGGAGTCGCCGGGAGTTTGAAGCGGTGAAAAATACTCTTGCGGCTAAGCACATGTAACGCAGCTTACCCCGCAAAGCTGTGGTGTCTCCACAAAGGGAAAACACATCTGTTTTCGACACCTGCTGCAGCTCGGGATTTCTTGAAAACTCTTGAGGCCACTCATTCATTGGAGTTAAAGGAAAAAAACTCTTGAATGACTGAGACTTTGCAAGTCACTGGGGTGAACAGTTAACAAACGCTATTCTCCGGGTTCGATGTACTGTTTAAATTGTACATCACACAGTAGATTGAGTCCTGATATGGTCCTTTATTAGACTGTCTGGTCTAGTAAATTGTCTTGAAGCTTTGACGCTTTGTTGGATTTTTTATTTATTTATTTTTTCTCTTCCTCAAGGCTCTGTTTTATGGAATGCATACGGATGATGCAAATCACGTTTGTCTCGGCCCAGTTGTGATGCGGAACTCGTTCTAATTATGCCTATCACTATAACAAGTAATAGTTTTTTTTCTTTTAATTATGTAATTATTATCTTCTTTTCCTCTACTGGTGATCGGCGTCATGTCTGTCATTTTTGTTTTTGCCGATGGTTGGGCTTGTCTCGGTTGCTTTGCTGCCGTTCTCTGGGCGTTTCATATCGTTGCCCCGATCATGCCAATAGGGCACTATGCTTCATTTGTAGCTTTGTTACCCTGTCGTTTGGGGACGGGGTTGGGAGGGTGGATATGGGTTTTACTGGGTCGTTTTATAGTTGTTAGATTACAAAAGGCACTCAATGTTCAGTCTCTTAGATGGGCCACACATAGTCAATACATACATTATTTTTCCACTAAGACATGAATAGTTTGTATAAAATGTACTACATGGAATGTAAAGGGTTTTTGCCACGCAGTTAAGCGGAAAATTTTTTTGACCTTTTTGAAAAAAGAGACAACTTATATAGCAGTTCTCCAAGAGACACACCTTTCCGATAAAGAGCATTTAAAATGAAAAAGAGATTGGGTTGGGCAGGTTTTCTTCTCCTCTTATTCCTCAGTGCCACACAGAAGAGGTACTGCAATCTTAATTAGTAGGCATCTACCATTTACATGTGAATCTTAAATGAACGACCCTGAGGGAAGATTTGTTTTAATTTCAGGTATACTGTTGGGTCAACATGTTACCGAACTTAGTGTCTATGCCCCCAATGAGGATTCCCCAAATTTATGTTGGACATAGTATTGTCTATCAATCAACATTGTAAAGGGATGGGACTCTTGGCAGGTGACTTTAACTGCACATTGGACCATGTCATGGATAGATCTTCACCCAGCACATTTTCTAATTCTTAATCAGTTTTAAAAGACGTGTAAGCATACCGATCTAGTTAATATCTGGCAAGAACTGAACCCATCGACTAGAAATTACACTTTTTATTCTAAACAACATGCTTATTCCAGAATCGACTATATCTTTATCCCAAGTAGATTTGTCCACACGGTCCAGTCCAGATCGGTTCAATTGTCTTATCAGATCATGCCCCAGTTAGTGTACATGTTAATTTTGACACTCCAATATGTAAAAGCAGACTCTGGAGATTTAACTGGTCCCTTCTGTCGGATTCTGCATTCTGTGACCTAGTACGCTACTGGATCAAAGAATATTGGGAATTTAACAAGGACTGTAATGTCTCACCATTTACGCGATGGGAAGCTTTGAAGGCCAGAATCCGTGGGCATATTATATCTTACGCCTCATCACGACAAAAAATGAAAATACAAAATCAGATGTATTTAGAAAAAGACGTAGCATACCATGAGCAGCTGCACAAATCAAATCCTAATGAATCTAACTGGGCCTCTTTATGTAGTGCCAGAGCTAAACTTAATCTAGAATATGCAAATCATATTAACAAATAACTATTCTTTCCCAAGCAAAAGTATTATGAATATGGTAACAAACCTAGTAGGTTATTGGCTTATCAGATTAAAAAAGAACATTCAGAGCGATTAATAAAATCTGTAAAGACACTGATGGGTTCACATACATACGATCTAAAGGTGATCAATACAACCTTTAAAACATACTATGAATCCTTATATCCTATAAATCCCAAAATAAAGTTTTAGAATCTGATATTACTGCATATTTAGATAATATATCACTTCCGGTGGTCTCAGACAGTGACAGATGCAGTCTTAATGCCCCTTTCTCCCTCTAAGAAATTTTTGGTGTCATCCAGTCAATGCCCTCATGGAAAACATCGGGACCAGATGGTTACCCTGTCGAATTTTATAGAATATTTTGGCCTGAACTTCAACCTATATTGATGCCAGTTATCATGGATCTGAGTACCAAAACTACCATGCCTGAAACCTGGAGAACTGCCTCAATATGCTTAATACTTAAGAAAGACAAAGACCCAGCAGATTGTGCCTCTTACAGACCAATCAGTTTAATAAATGCAGATTGTAAAATCTTTGCTAAAGCTCTGGCACAACGATTAGAGGTGATTTTACCTAAAATTATTAAATTAACCCAGATCAAACTGGATTAATAAGGATGCGATATGGTTCTGATAATATACGTAGACTATTGAATTGACTATTGACTGTATTAGAAAAAGTAATGATCCTGCCTTTATTGTTTCTCTCGACACAGTGAAAGCGTTTGATAGGACTGAATGGCCATTCTTGTTTGCTGTCCTTAAAAAATTCAATTTGGGTCCTACTTTTATTCATTTAGTTAAACTGCTATATGCCGATCCGTACGCTAGTGTCGATACAAATGCGTTGCTCTCTGAAAAGTTTCAGATAAGTCGAGGAACAACACAAGGCTGTCCTCTCTCTGCATTGCTTTTTTCCATGGCAATTGAGCCACAAGCAGAAACAATTAGATGCTACCAGGACATTTCAGGTATTAGAGCAGGAGGAGCGGACCACCGAATCTCACTCTACGTGGATGACGTTTTGTATATGGCCCACCCAGAAAAATCTATCCAGCTATAATGAAGTGTATCTCAGAATACAGTAAATTTTCTGGTTATAAGATCTTTAATCATTAGCTTTACCTTTAAATATATCCCTTAACACACCTTGGATAGTTACATCCCCCGTTCAGTTAGTGTTACTTAAGTATTCATATCAGCCCAGACCTTAATAACCTTATTGACAAAAATTATCTTCCACTTATTAATAATATAAAACATGATCTTAAATTATGGAACTTTCTCCCTATTTCCCTTTTTGGCAGGGTAAATGTAATAAGAATGAATATCCTCCTCTCTTACTCTATTTATTTCAGTCAATCCCTTGCCATTTACCCACAATTTTCTTCAAGGATTTAGAGAACATTTTCTCAAAATTTGTATGGAATAATAAAAGGCCAAGACTTAAATTTTCCAGATTAATAAGAGCGAAGGAGGAAGGTGGTGCCTGTGTGCCTAATATGCAGTTGTATTATTGGTAATCTCAAATTAAGCATATGATCAGCTGGTGTACAAATAGGTTGGACTCTCGCTGGGTCTCTATGGAAACTGAAGCATGTAGCCCTATTCCTCTTGATTGCTTACCGTTTATTAATGATACTGCAAAGGTGAGGTGTGTCTCTGAGAATTCTGTTTTATGCAATACCCTTATGGCCTGGACAGATGTTAAGAAATATCTTAGTATTCCTCATTGTCTTTCACTACTGTCCACCCTGGCCCACAACCCAGATTTACCTTCTCAGCTGAGTAACTCTGGACTCTCAGCTTGGCTTAACAGAGGGATCAAAAATATTTATTATTTGTTTTCAGGTAGTTTGCTCAAATCGTTCACACAGTTGCAAGAAGAATACGAGTTACGTAGGTCAGATTTTTTCAAATATCTTCAGATTCGTCACCTGATCACCTCAACCATTAAGGATGGGAGATTCAGAAAGGAATTAACCAACCTTGAAGTGTTGCTAGTTAAGAGGGACCAAGCTAGAAGGTTGATTTCACTAATTCATGGCATTTTGCTAAAGAGTGTTAAACCATCGTCAGATACTCTGAAAGGAATTTGGGAAAGGGACCTAGACCAACCTATCTCAGAAAAAAAAAATGTATCCTAATTCGATGGGCCAGCCCCTCTTCACCATCTGTTGAGCAGTGGCTTTCCCAAGCTGCAACTCTGCTTCCCCTGGAAAAATTGACCTACGATCTACGTCACCAAACAGACAAATTCTGGAAACTTTGGACCCGCCTGTGGACTTGGAAAATCTTTCTTAAAATCCTATGTATGTTGGCCTGCTGTGTGAGATTTAAATGTATGATTGTTAATACTGAATAGAGTGCAATAAAAAAGGGGGAAAAATGTAAAGAAAAAGTAATTGAGAGTGGTCTGATGTGAAATGCTCCATTCTAGAGAAACTTCAGAGTCAGGTTTGTTAAATAAATGTTCTCACTCAAAAAAAGGAAAAAAAAAAAAAATAAAAAAATCATTTGGGATTCAGCCACATCCGTGCTCCACAGATAGTGCACTGTTGGGCTGTAGAAGCTAGAATTTCAAAACCTCCAGCCTGGGTTTGACGCTGCTTCTGACCGAGGCACGGACATTCGCAGCATGTGGGCCATTCAGGTGACACTTTTTGGTATTTTGAACTGCCTTTTTGCGATGAATCCTGTCGTGGGAGCTTTGATTCAGGCCTGCGGTATTGATGATGGAGCCGTTTTGGCTGTTGGCTGTCTTTTGGCCTGTTGGCTAGCTGACCAGCCTAGTTCTAGTTAAGAAAATGGTTTGCCAGCCTCTCAGTTTAAACAAAAACGGGTTCTTGCTTCATCAGTACACTCGGTTGTCCATGCGAGCAGCATGAGAGTCAAAGATTATTCCATTAACAGCACAAGGGTTTTTTTTTGGGACGTGGTGCGGAGTTCAGTTGTTGTGAGGCGCTCATGGGTGTGTGTGTGTATTTTGTATTTTGCAGCGGCTTTGACCATGGCTCGGCCAATCAGATTTTAGGACCGGAACTATCCATTTTATAAGTACGCATTATTGCTCAAAAATCACACTCACACGGTCCTCGGGTCTGACTGGCTGGGCCTCATTCAGGGACATTGCGAAGTGTTGGATATACATGCACATATGACCACCACAGCACAACAGCAGGAAAAACGCAGGTCAGGCCATGATTCTGCAGTGAGAAGTGCTCTTTGTTCAACACACCAGCAGTAAGGAACACATACAGCACCCCAAACTCATCAGACAACAATGTAACCAACATGAGTAGTACATTTGTTCTGCATCCAGACAGTCCAGTATGGAATTGTGCATATGTGGCTCAGTGCTAAATGATTATTTGTTGGATATGTTATGCACTGTTTGGGTGCAGAAGCCAGTATTCAACTTTGTTGTGAGAAAAGTGATGTACCACACTAACATAAGCTAAATAAGACTTGAAATTGGAAAGAGGCACTAATACAAATTAGCATTGTCCACGAGGTGGTAATTTTGTGAGCAAAAACTACTGATAATGTGAAGGATTTTGCATTAAACAGTGCATCATTATAATATGTTCAGTATTATATGACAAAAAAATACAGGTTTGTTAAATAACTGCAGGATACAATGGGGGCTGACTGAATATTGTAATGTAAAAGTTGAAACATACATAGAGAAATTATAATTTTATCTGAGCAAAATTATACAAAGGGTTTCTCTGCTTTGACTTAAGTATGGGAGTACTTTATCCACCACTGCTCACTCCCAAACAGATTCTAGATTCAGACTGCGGGGCTAACTGATGACTTTCAGTTTAGAATTTATTCCTAGTTTTTGCTTGGCTCCTTGGGAAATTGCATGAGAGTGGCATAAAGCTTGCAGTTTCTTTCCTTCTCTTTTAATTTTTTATTATTTTTAATAAATCGGTCATTACCAGTCAATCTGGGCAGTCAGTCAGAGGTGGAAAGGGAGATTTCTACAACAGCATCGCACCTAGTGAGCAATGCAACAAAGGCAACATTCGGCAAAAATGAGAGTTCAAGTTTCAGTGACCAGTGGCCTGCGAAAGAAAGCCGGACCAAAAATAGAATCATAACCTGATACTAATTTAAGCTTACTCTGCAAAGCATTAAGGAACCAGAGAGCAGGTAGGACGCCAAGTGGAAGCAAGTTGAAGGTGCAGCTTGGGAAGTGAGAGCGGAGTGTGTGTGCAGATGGGGTTGGATGCTGACTCAGCTGTAACCGAGCATCTTGATGCTGGAAATTTAGGAGCTTGATTGTATACAACCTGTGCTGCTTCATATCTTTCTTTCTTTCTTTTTTTCTTTCTTTCTTTCTTTATTTATTTCTTTCTTTTGTCTATGGCTTTCTTGCAAATAAAACACAAATAAAGTTATGTGAGGTTGCATGAGGTACCTAATGAAGATCTAAATGTTCCACACATATTCGCTTCACATATTCACTTTAGGTTTTCCACGTAGGCAACAGCATCTAGCTGAACGAAACTTCAGTATTTTCCCGAAGATGAGTTCATCACAGTGATTTTTTTTTTTGTCTTGAGTGTGGTGAACAAACTTCCTGACTGGTATATATAAAGGCGAGAACAGAGAGAGAGAGATCATTATCACTAGAAAGCATCTCTGTGAAGGGGAACATGAGGACGCTACTTTTTCTCATCGCACTGTCTTTCAGCTTGACAAATGTCGGTCATAACAATGACAAAACTCCGCTTAAGGATATCGTAAGTGATCTTCAGAACATTTCTGTAAGTAAACAGTATGTTCTATTATATTAATGGCATCAGCAAAACCAGCATATCACTGCTGTCGGAAGAAAACCTTGTATCTCCAAAATGGTAACTTTACAGGAGAAGGAGAAAACATTCTTAGTTTTGAATGAAAGTTAATGGAACTAGATTTTTTTCCAAGCACTTTTGGAGCATTTCTGGTGATCCATTCATCATGAAATGTTAGCACAATATAAAGGTCAGCTGGCAGTTTCAAATTCTGTAAAACGACAAAAAAATGGAGATACAATGTTTTCTTCCGACAGCAACGAGATTTTTTGTTTTGGATGCTGGTATGCTGGTCAACCAGCAGGACCATGCTGGGTGACCAGCTAAACCAGCACCTGACCAGGATAAAATTCATGCTGGTCTAAGCTGTTTTTCTTCAGCAGGGTCATTTTCAACCATGTCAAGCTATTGGTTGACTTTTTTTATATAATTATTTGTTTTTTTATTACATTTGTTCCCTTCCTTATTCAATATGAATTATTTAATTATTAGCACTCATTGCTTTCATTTAGTAAATTTTATGTTCTTCTCTTATGCTTTTTCTTATTGCCTTTCTTTGTAAAGCAGTTGTGCTGTGTTTTAAATGTATGAACAGTGTTACATAAATAGTTTAGTATTATCATTACTTTTATTATTATTATTATTATTATTATTATTATCATCATCATTATTAAAAAAGTTCCTAATAAGCATGTGTTCCAGCTTGTTAAGAACATTGCTTACCTCCTGATGTCCAGCGATGACCCTACCATCTGGAAAGAGGTAGTTTGCAATAGAGCAGACAGGATTCTGGATCCCCACAGTCATGCAGTGCTCTCTAGCTTGAAGGCAGGCGTGTTTGTAGTTGGCTTGTGGTCTACCGATCACAGATAACATTCCACTTCGGGTTTGATCAGAGGCTTCCTGCATGGCCTCTGCCCTGACTTTCACTGCAAACAGAGCTGAGCGCCCAGATTAAATCCATCATTAAAATAAAGTTACAGAAATGATGAAGACCAACTCAGTAAAGATGAAGACAATGAATTCACTGAGCAGAAAAACAAGTAAAAGTGGGCTTATTTTACCTTCAGCAAAGTTCATTGCACCAGAGAATACCAGAGCAGCAAACTCCCCAACACTGAAGCCAGCAGCAGCAACACAGTTCTCTATGGCCTGTGGAGTTTAAATCAACAGTGTCAAATGCAAGTTGAACATTGTTACAGCTGACTGGGGGGATTTGTTTAAAAAGGTGACCTGATGATTCAGTAATGATTTTATTGTTTTACTTTAATCCTTTATTGTCTTTAATACCTGATTTATTATGCTAGTGGATGTTCATATCCTGGGTGTGCGTGTGTACCTGGTGGGAGTGACTCCAGTGGGAGTTGGGGTTTAGAGGAGTCTTAGTCCTACAACTCTCAAGGGCCTGTGGTGGTCTTAAAAGGGAACTCCACAGATTTTTAAACATTTTTGTATAATTCAATTATTGAGATGTAAACAAAGTCATTCTGGGTGGTTTGCTGTAAAATGCTTCATTGTGGAAAAACATATCAGCTCAGATTTCCTTACAGTGGTGGTGACAGGAAGCAGGGGTTGCAACGTTTACACAAACATAGCCATTTTATCTACTGTCCAAAATGATAACTGAACCTTTCAACACTGATAAATGTTTTCCTTTGAGAACTATTTTGCTCTGCATGTCCCTCTCTGCCATGAGCAGATGTATAAAAATAAATAAATAAATAAATAAATAAATGTAGGCCAAATCCTTTTCTCAAAATTAAAATATCCTCACATGCATCAGACAGTACATTCATAGCTATTTCATTCAGTCTGTGCTTTTAGAGGCATTAAATGCTTCAGGCATCTGGTTCTTAACACTACCACTATAAACAATTCTGACCCTATATGTTTCTCTTGAATGAAGCATTTTACATCAAATCACTTCACAGAACAACCTAAAGATGTGATGTCTTTTTTTTTGTGGTTGTTCAAGATCATAGGAACCTGAAACTGAATGCACTTCTGTGCCCCTATATCTTACATAAGGAGCACAAGCATTTACATATACATATATATATCTTAAAACAGGGAAAAACGTTTAAAATAAAAGTTCAGTACTGCTCCTTTAAGCCGCTGCCTCTGTGAACACTTACAGCAGGATTCTCCTGGTTCAGTCTTTCCACAGAAGCCAGCGAGGTGACGAACACAGCAGGCTGGCAGTGGACGGTCTTCATCAGCTCCTCCTCGGGCCCGTTCAGACACAGGTCCAGCAGGTCATATCCGAGGACTTTCTGTGCCACGGAGAACATCTCCTTCACGTTGCCGTACTTCAGCAGTCCTCTGCCCATCCCGACGAACTGGCTGCCCTGTCCGGGGAAAAGGAGGACGGACACTTTCCCCGGGGCTCTCCTCGCTCTCCACTGCTCTCCTGCACCATCTTCTTCTCTCGGTTCCTGTGTGCTGTCGGAGGACGGGGGGCTTCGGTCCGATCCGGACAGTTTTCTGCAGGGGAAGATCGCGGCCTTTCTACAGAGCGAGCGGGCTGCAGCTCTGCGGCGGATCAGACAGATCAGACTCATAACGGCCAGCACGGTTTGACCAAATCACGTTAAACAGATATCTGATAAATGTTAACGAGGTCAGCTCGAGTTCTGGACCGTAGGCAGCATTCTGGCACGTGCAGTCGACACCAGGTTCTGGAGTTCGACTAACCAGGACTTTTATTTTGTCAGGTAAAGGCTCGTTAAAAGCAGAGCAGTGCATACACGGCGGTTTGCGTTTGAGTGCTGGTTTAATAAACACTTTGATCTGACTGTATTCGGTAAATCAGACATGCTCCATTTCTGTGTGGCTCACTTTAACCACGTCATGTGTTTGACTTTTCTTCCTCTTTCATAGTTTGCGTGTAGTAATGTAGGTACACTGCCATCTACTGGACTGGAGCTTCTTTCTGTTCCTGTTGTCTTCATGAACTCACTGACCACTTTATTAGATACATCTACTTTGTATCCACAGTCACTGTCCGTTTTATTAGCTCCACCTTCCACACAGATGCAGTTTGTAGATCTACAGTTGAAGAGTTTCTTTCCAATATGCTGTGTATCTGTTTGTAACAATTTTGGATATGTTTTTGAAAATAATAACAGCTGGTGTATAATGGAAACACATTTTATTTATCTAATGAAGGGGTATTAATTATAATATAGTACCGATTTATCATGTATGTGTAAAATCCACTCCCAACAATGCATATCATGAAAAAGAAGAACATTTCTGAAAGCAGTCTGTAATGCATTTTGGAACAAACCCTTTAAATACAGATTGTAGTCCATCTGTTTCTCTGCAGTGTCCTGTGGCCAGAAACCGACCACCAATGAAGGACTAGAGGACCAACACAAACTGTGCAGCAACAGATGAGCTATGATCCCTAACTTTGCATCTACAAGGTGGACTAACAGGGTAGGTGTGTTTAACAGAGTGGACAGTGAGTGAACACAGTGTTTAAAAACTCCAGCAGCACTGCTGTGTCTGATCCACTCATACCAGCACAACATACACAAACACGCCACCACCACCTCGATATCACTGCAGTGCTGAGAATGATCCACCACCCAAATAATACCTGCTCTGTGGGGGTCCTGTGAAGGTCCTGACCATTGAAGAAGAGTGAAAGGGGGATAATAAATGATACAGAAACAGATGGACTAGTCTGTAATTGTAGAACTACAAAGTGCACCTTTATGGTAAGTGGACCAGATAAAATGGACAATGTGTAGATACAAGGTAGGTGTACCTAATAAAAAGGACAGTGAGTGCATTTTCTTGAGGAGCTCTATACCCAAATAACTATATAATAACTTGCAACTTTCCTAATTTTTCATTAAAAAAAGAAGCTTTTGCAGCATCAGTCTATAGTCGACGCAACTCTACAATGAATGCAAAATCTGTTGCCCTATGGATCAATAATACTATATCAAGAATTTATGTGTGTGTGTATATATATATATTTTGTTTTTTTTCTGAGGGGTCAAATACATCATTATCATCATATCATCATTATACAACATATTCATCCCTAGTTGATCTGGAGATATGGTGACTCTTATATGAATAAATGGTCCAACTCAATGACTCTTTCTATGGAGACGTCATCCACTGTGTCTAGATCTTAATCAGACATTTCCACTTATATACATTAAAGGGGAATTCCATTGATTTTTCATAATTTCTGCATAATTCACTCATTAGGATGTAAACAAAACTCATTCAGTGTCCTTTATTGTAAAATGGTTCACTGTAGACAAACTTAGGGACTCGATAGGAACCAGGAGTCCTAATGTCTACAATGCAAATATACACATTTTATTTGCTATCCAAAATAACCAGTGAACCTAAATGTGTCTCGAGGCCCTGTTCACACCTGGCATTAACATGCGTCCTGGGAGATCCGATCACAGCTGGATGGAGCCAGGTACAGATGTGAGCGATGTACAACTCTGAGACACATTGTGAACCAATCACTCAAACCACTTTCAGAGGTGGTCGGGGAAGCATAACATTTGTGGCGTGAATGCTAAGCATCTCAATGTGAGGTGGTTCATGTAATAGCTTTCTGTGAAGTAGCTTTAAGGGGCATTAAACACTTAAGATGTCTGGTTCCCATAACCACCACTGTAAAATTTCAGACTCTGCAAGTTTCTCTAGAATGGCGCATTTTACATCAAACCACTTTGAATGTCTTTGTTTACAGCTTAATGATTAAATGATGCAGTATTTTTTGAAATCAGCGCAATTCCCCTTTAACCATAATCTTAAAACAAGTGTATAGAGAAAATGTTAAACTGATTTTTATTGACAGAAGAACTCTGAAACAATACACAAACATCCAAGTGGCAAAACTGGCTTCTTGCAAGCCCTTGCATGGCAATCCAATTTATTGAACTACAGATGCTCGGTTATACAAAATTGCACCACTTTAATTAAGGCTTTTAAGTTTACATTTGGCCACCCATCCCCCCCTCCCCTTCCCTTCCCTCCCACCCCACTATTAAGCAGATGCTGCATTTCAAATACTGTGGTTCTACCTCTCTCAGGCCAAGGTTAACATCAATGAGATGTTCTGTTTTACTGTTTGTATGTTTTCTTTTTCTTATGAACAAAACCGCAACAAGGCATTTGCCTACAGGATCAGCAGAGGACACTGTATCCATCGCTGTTGTGTTTGTCAAATTTTATACTGAGTGGAACCCCAGAACGCATGCATAAAGCATTCATTATGCACATAAACTGTACATTATATTCAATCTGAAATGCAGAACATGGATGTTGATGCTGGGAAAGACACTGGGCTGCAGTTTATCCTCGTCTTATGAATGCTTTATGAATGCATCACATGATTGCACTTGGTACAATATGATCATTTTCTCCCCTATTGTTCCCTTTTCTCCCTGCTCATTCACACAAGGTCCCCACCCCCGACATTCACTACAGTTAACCCCACAGGAACGCAGACAGAAAACAGGTCAAACCAAGTATTACAAAAGTGAAACAGTCACTAACAGGCAAGATTTTTTTCTTTACTGAATGGATCCAATATGGTTTTCATATCCTCAGTTTACCAGATGCATTAGCAGGCAAGGGGGCGGAGTTACATACAGTGGAAATCTACAGTAACTGGACCGATGACATTTGTTCCATTTGTTTTGTAATAAAAACCCCAATTCTTTAAAATATAAGAGGGGGATTCTGTGACGAGGGATTGGACTGTCTACTTTAAGCTCAGCCAATGAGAGGTGATGTCACAGAGGTGAGGTGTGGGGCTACATTACGACATCACACTCATCCAGGAGTCTTACTGGTGAAGCATGAATTTGCCAAGTCCCTTCCAACAGTGCCCCCTTTTGAAACCCCGCCCACTGTACAAACATATCTGTAAACAAGATAAAGAAACCTGGCACGAGCGATGGATTTTCTTTTTTCCTTTTTTTTGGTAATTTTTGTTAAGTTGGATTTTCCTCAAAGAAAAAAGAAAAAAAAAAAACTAAACAAAAGATCTGAACACATATTTGAAGGCAACATTTGAGGCTAAGGACAACATGATAGTGACAGAAATCATTATATATTTTTTTTGTTTTACTTTTTACACGTACATTACTGTATCCACAGGTTTTTCCTAAAGATAAAACTCATATCAATAGTTCTTGCGATATACCACCTCAGCAGAGCAAAAAAAGAGAATCTAGTAACGTTAAAAAAAGAGAAAATGCAAGAGAAGGAAAATCAAGAAGAAAATAAAAGCAAAAAAAGTTACAAAAGACAAAAAAAGAACAACAAAGAGAAATGCACAGAAACCAAGGAGCGAAGTTAGCTGTATGAAATGGACTATATAGGCGCTCTTTGGACTTCCTCTCATCTCTGGCTAAAATAGTGGTGCTTATAAATATCGCATCATTGTAATTGCCATGGCAACGTGCACAGTCAGGTTCAACACTCGCTCCTTACATTTCCAACGGTGGCTGTCTCCGTTAGCAATAACACTGTGTGTAGGCGCTGGGTTTTTTTAAAATTCTATTAGCTCTTTATTCATTTATCCATGTAATTATTTTTTTTCTATTTCAGTTGCATACAGTTAGAATATATATTTATATATTTATAAGTAAAAATCTCTTTCTTGCGACACTTGGAAAGTGATCATGGTTATCTATGTGCAAAAAACTAACATGATACTGTAGCTTTGAAATCTGTTGGTTGGTTGGTTGGTTTGCTTGGTTGGTTGGTTTTGTTAAAGGGGCATCACCACACAGGAAAGTCCATTCGATGTTAGGTTTTAGTAACGTCGGAATGCTGGCACTGCTGAGAGACACAGCAGCTAATCAGACCTGAAAAAAGAGAGACAGAAAGAAGAGAGTTCTTTATAAGAGCTACTCGTTATGTCCTGATGCATGGTTTTATTCTAGTAACTGACACAATGATAGAACTGATCCTGCACCAGCAATGGAATCACATACACACACATATATCAAATGTATATCTGAGATATATATATATATATATATATATATATATATATATATATATATATATATCTCTCAGATATACATTTGATATATTTCTTATACCCCAGAATTTCAATTACAAAAAAACAGATTTTTCCCACCTCAGTAAGTATCTGATTGCTTTTTTTTTCTATGAATGTTGCAAAAAAAAATTGTCTATTTTGTGTGCCATCCTGTTAAGGATGCAGAAAACAAAAACACTGAAAACACACAAAATTTGCCAGTTTCTCAGCACTCAGCTCCCTAAAAGGGTTTAAATGATGTCCCTTATTCTTCATCTGGGCATTTAATGTGACAGAACATTATTTTTATTGCTGAATATGTTGTGTAACAAGGTAGAAAAATCAAGGACATGGGCACATTATAAAAACATTAATTCTAAGAATACCATATTGAATTTATATATTTTATATATATATGCATGGGAAAGGTCTGATGTTAATTCAACTTTTATTTAACAATATTTGGGACAATTGCAAAGGATCTCTATATGGACATGTAAAAGGACTGTATTCTTAAAAAACAGTCAAAGTTATAAAATGTTTCATACCATATGTTAATGGTGAACTTTGAATTCATATATTTAACATCGAATAACTTTGATTTATGTTACTATTACATTTTATCAGATGATGTGGACTCAATATAACACTGATATCATACTCTTATGATGTCTCTTACAGTTCTCACCTGGCTCAGAGCGACAGAACAGCTGTATATTAGAGCAGCTGGCAGTTGGACTTTTTGCGCGCCTTCCCAGGTACTGGAGTTTTCCTGTTGATTTGCCGGACCAGGTCATAGAAGATCTACAAAAGGCAAAGAGCACAGGACATATCACCATGAACACTGGAGGACAGGCCAGAATACAACACAACACCTACAAAATAAGCTTAATGTCATTGTCATAGCTTCAGTTTAAATATTGCCCTTTTTCACCAATCTCAAAACAACAAACCCCTCAAATCCTTCAATCCTATGTTACAACAATGACAAATTAAACT